CGACCGATATTATATTTTAGTCCTTAAATTTATTTATTTTTGATTGGACCATAAAAAAACAGTATCATAAGTTAGATCATTATGTAAATTTAATCAATTACCTTAAGCATTCAATATCAATTTGAAACTCATGAGGATCATTTTTAAAACAAATGAAATCAAAATTTAAAAACTCGTACAAATCTATATTATAAATAATTTGTGATCCTGGAGATTGCGAATGGAGTAAACTGGATTGGGAAGATCATCCCTACCTCTGCAGTACTCGATCCGGAATATTTGATCAATAGATCGATACCAGTGGTTATAAAAAACCAATATCGTTAAAATTTTAAAATTATATTTTTTAGGGATTTAATTTTTTTTATCCATATTAGTTCTTAAACCTTTTTTTTACTATATTTGTAATATAATATTCTAAATATGTCATATAACATCACTAAATGATTTTGACACTCTATATTAGAGAACCAATTAGAAATTTCTTTTAATGAGATCTTATATATTATATGTTACAAAACTTTAAGATCAAGTTTTATCATGAAATTTATTCAATATGTAAATTTTATCAAAATAATTAAACGTTAAAGAAATTACTAAGTTCAGACAATAAAAAGTATATGGATCAAATTATAAAATTTTGTCAGATTTAAGGACTAAAAATTTCATTATCAAGAATTGATTTAATTGGGAAAAAAGGCAATATGATATTTAGATTAACGTTTTACATCGTTGACCATCAAAAGTACTGGTGTGTCAGTTCATGGTGATTAACAAGACAGTTCACTGTGTTGACGTGTTAGTTCACTGTGTTGACGTGGTAGTTCATCTGTCACATTTGAATTACCAATTTAATCCATCTACCATGTCATCCACTACGTTAACATGCCTCTCTGGATTGACTTGTCAGCATTGTAATGATCAATGACGAAATAACTTTGATCATACTATATTTTATGAGTTAAAGGGTTATATTAAAAGAAAAAAATAATACAAGGATCTATGATGCACTTTTACCATTTAATATCATAGTCAAAACTGTAAACAAAATTGCTTCACCCATACTTCTCATGTGCTCATTACAAAGCAAAGTACCCTACAAAAATAGTAGTCTGTTTAATCATATAATAAAAAGCTGGAAAAAATCTCATTTATTTATTTAAAATAATTTATCTCTGATATGCTCTGCTGTCTGCTGTGCTTTCTAATCTTCATCTTCTACATCGAAGCTAGGGTTCTCTTCTCTTCTTCTTTGAATTTTTAATTAACTATTACGAAAACTATGGTTATTCCAGCAGGTAAGGGAACCGTGCCGTGTGATTTCTGCAACGAGCAAACGGCAATTCTTTACTGCCGAGCTGACTCAGCGAAGCTATGTTTGTTTTGCGACCAGCACGTTCACTCGGCGAACCTTCTCTCTCGGAAGCACGTCCGGTCTCAGATCTGTGATAATTGCGGGAATGAGCCGGTTTCAGTTCGGTGCGAGACCGATAATCTGGTGCTTTGTAAAGAGTGTGATTGGGACTCGCACGGCAGTTGCTCCGTGTCGGCGGCACACGATCGAACCCTCGTGGAAGGGTTTTCTGGTTGTCCGTCGGCTCTGGAGTTGGCTTCGGCATGGGGATTCGATCTTGAGGAGAAGAAAGCTTCGGATCGGAGCTGGAACGTGTGTCGCGAAGATTTGGTGATGCCGGCGGTGGAATCGTGGTTGTACGAGGCTGGTTTGCAAGAAATGATCGTGCCGTACGAGGGTTTTGGCTTCTACGGGGAGACGTTGAAGAAGGAAAGTCGCGGCAGCGGGAAGTGCAAACAGGTTATTTATAAGCAGCTTGTGGAGTTGATGAAAAGAAATTCCATGGACGGCGGTGGAAACGGTATCGCTGACGGTTGCTGTGGCGGTGGAGATGAGGACAATCTAGCGTCGAACGTCGAACCGGTCGTCGGCTTTGTGACTCAGCAAGAAGTTATACAGCCGTTGCCACAACAGCAAACACCAAAGACGGCTCTGTTCACATCTTTGCTGATGATGCAAACGGAAGAGAGCGAACGCGTTGTTAATGAAGGAAATGTGGCGTTGAACGGTAATCCAAACGGTCGAGCATCCCAGGTACTTTTTCTTAGGTCTAATTATAAATTCATCCCTCTACAAAAATAAAATTGATAAATTAGTCTTCAGTCTCCGATATTGATTTGTCAGAATTTAATCCGAGAAGTTAGTCTAGATGTTGAGAAACACATGAACTTAAACCGCTGACTTTGTTAATTTATTGCGCCGAAATTGATAAAGTGTTGATTAATTTCTCAGCTTTCTTAAATTAATAAGGCCAGTAATACCAATTTTGACAAATTAAAGTAGACGGTATTCATAATCAAAGCTTCAAAAAATCAATGCTTCTACCTTTTTAGCATTTTGAAACAGTAACGATAAGTTGGTTAGAATCGATTACAGATTTGGGATTTTAAGCTAGGGCGGTTGAGGGGTCAAGAAGAGTGCAGCCAATCGCGATTGGAAGACGAAGTTGGGTACGGCGGAGGTGATACAGGTTTCTTGATTAACAATTTCAACCAACGCATGAAAGAGACGTCTTTGACTAATGCAAATTTGCTAGGCTACCCCCCTCCAAAACACGATTTGACTTCACTCAATAATGTATGTTCCTTGCTCATCTTCTCTATTGTGTTATGATTCATCATATCTTGTTCATAACTATTGCTCATCTTCCTATTGACACTTGAAAACCAAGGTTCAAACCTTGAAAATGGTTTATGGAGAGTATTTCGTGTTTGGGTCCAATCCGGCTGAAATACGTCTCTTTTTGAACATGCCCTTTAAGAGTGGTTCTTGATCTTTGAATATCTGGTAGTCACGTTGGGTTTTGATTATTCTAGAATTGAATCGGGTCAGATGCCAAACGGGGAAGTTCTTCCATTATTTCACAAGGTTTGTTTATTTGATGCCAAATAAACTTGGAAATTTGATTGGAAATTGTTGCTCAACTCGGCAATACCCCTCCTCCCATAGATACAGTATGGGTGACTTTGTTTTGCTTAACGTTAAATTCTCTTTCGAGTGTTGATTTCGGAGCTTGAAAATGCAGGACGACACAAATAATCCAGGGGCAAGTGGACTAGCCACATCTGAGAGCAACAATCTACCAATACCAAAGCCATCATCAGGTTCAGCTTTTGGTAAACACAAAGGCTCTAGCGGTTCCAATGATGTCAACTTTCCCAAACAACAGCCTTTCTTTGTGAGTCCGGTCGAGCAAGCAATGCCAACAGCAATTAGTAAGGCTGATCGTGAGTTGCTGGCGCAAAACCGAGGCAATGCCATGCAGCGTTACAAGGAGAAGAAGAAAACACGAAGGTATAAAAATCCGTACACTTACGCAACTATGTAACTTCGACATGTTAAAGGTTTTTTATCATTATGACCAAGATTTTAAAATTTGTCTTGAACTTCTAAAGCTCTAGTTTTATATCCTATCAAGTCGTTTAGCTTTGTTTTAGCTTTGACATTAGATGCCAGCTCAAATCTGATATGGAGTATATTTAAAATACCTGAATTATATAAACACGTTTACCCATCACTGCGTTGTTAACGACGATCTATCCGATCCATTGCCCGAATAGGTACGATAAACAAATTCGATACGAATCGAGGAAGGCAAGAGCGGATACACGGAAGCGAGTGAAAGGTCGATTCGTGAAGGCTACGGAAGCTCCTGATGATTAGAAGCTGTGTAAGTGAGTGAATGATGTTTGTATGGATTGCTGTAAATATTTATTTTGTTACATCTAAACGTGTGTAGCTTAGCATTTTCTATACCAAGTATTTTTCGCTTGCTAGTTCCATCAAATTCAAGTAACTGAATTTGACCCGATCTGAATCTATTTTTCTAAGGATAGGGTATAAACTCGTCTTATCCGAGTTAAATTATCAACCTTAGTAATACACTAATACTTCATTTAAAAATTTACAAGTCAAGTGAATTTATATCAAGTTCAATTATAAACATTTATAGTGTTTTAGTACTAATTGATTCTAAATTAAATGAATTTTTATAATCATATACGATATTAATATATATTTCATGTTTCTTATATCCAATATATATCATGTTTTAGACTCAACTAGGGATGATACTTTAATTCGAAACCGACATGTTTCTATTCGACTATATTCGACTAGATCCGATAGGATCATATTTTTTTAAAAAAAATTAGAGTTCGGATCGAGTGAATTTTTTTAAAAGGGTGAGATTGTGTTAAGTTCAAATGTAGGGTGAAAGAACTCGGACCCAAACCAACTCGAGAATAATAGTGTAATTTCTTTTAAAAAATTATTATTATTTTAGTTAAGTCTTTATTTTATACCGGGTTAGATCGGATCGAGTTTATATTCTAAAAATCCGAGTCAGGTCGAAGTCGGTTGGAGGATATATATTTTTCAGGTCGGGTCGGATGATGATATATAATGTCCAGGTTCGAGTGAACGATACATATTTTCGGGTTGGGTTGATAAAAAAATCCGACACCAACCTGACCAGTTGCCATCCCTAGACTTAATCTAAACTTGAAAATCAATCAACTAATTACTAAAATTTTAAAATTCATTAAATTTAGTTGATCCTATTTTATAACTCAAATTTTATTTCAATTTTCTTTGCAAATCGAATCAAATTTATGAAATTGTGAATAGAGTTAAATTAAATTTTTTAAGATCGAATTAAGTTGAAAAATTAGATTAGTTTTTGCGTCAAATTGTACTCACCTTTAAATATACATTAAAAGAACATCAAAATCAACGGTAATAGGAATATCGAATTCAGGTATCACATTAGACAAAAAAAAAGAGACAGGTACCACATTAGAAAGAAGTGTCAAATTCAGGGACCAAATATTATGTTTAAGCTATAGGATTATCATTTAACACACTCAGAATCTGGCGGTAGAATTTTGAAAATCTGTGTCCCGTTTGCAGAATAAGATGATGCAAAGGGCCAGCATTGACACTGACCAGTATAAGAAAAAGTATGCTGCTCGGACCGGTTTCCATCAAGAGACGGCGGCCGTCAGTACCGATCTGTAGCATGTTCTCTTTGCAGCTCGGACTATATCTTCAACCTGCACAATTCATAAACCAATCAAATTTATATCATCTATAGGTAACTGTAGAAGAATAGGTAGCAATGGGGTCACCTGTGGCACCGCCATTCTCTCAAGATTTGCCGCATACGGCATAGGAACATCGGCTCCGGCAATTCTCTCGACTGGTGCATCGAGATATGAAAAACTCTCCTCCAAAACACACGCACTGCAAACAAAGTACACCACGTAAATATATACATGGTGCCAGAATTTAAAAGAGTTTCAAGGGAAAAGAATTCGAACCATATTTCGGCACCAACACCGTGCTGTGGAAACGCTTCTTCGACTGTGACCAATCTATTGGTTTTCCTGACAGAGTCGTTAATCGTGGATCGATCTAACGGCCTAATCGAACGCAAATTTACAACCTGTATTTAACGAAGATCAGTCGTTGCACTTGTAAGGACTTGCGCTAGTTATGAGCTATAATTTTTTTACCTCGGCATGGATTCCATCCTTTTCGAGTATCTCAGCTGCCTGAACAACAAACAATCTCTTAGTTGATAACCCCACAAGCCAAAACATCGGTACTGCATACATAAAGGACAATTGTCTGGTATATTGGTAGTTGATAACATGGGTAAATGAGGTTCCGGCCTAAGGCACAACGGCAATGAATACCGATATGCATCGGGTTAAACACACTCGGCACATTTCCGTGGCCATTCGTTATGAAATCAATCTTCTTGAATGATGGTTGGGCATCTGCATATCTAAACAGATGTTGCATACGAGGCATACCTTAAGAGAGTAGCCCACCATTTTCGAATAAGCTGCAATAGTCACATGCTTTCCTTTTCTCTCTATCTGTTAAAAGAAATGATTAAACACTATATATGTACATGTATGAAAATGCAGCTTCATGAGATCAAGTTATAGCAGAATCAATGGAAACTTTTAGGGGGGGACCATAGAATTACCTTAGCTTTTCCGATCGGAAGGCAAAAACTCGAATCCAGAACTCCATCAGAAATCGGGAATGATTCACCGTATCTGAAGCAGAACAATTATACCGAAGTAGCATCAGGCATTAAGGTTCGATCAATACAGAAAGAGTCGGAGTTTATTAATTCACTTACAACAACTCATTCTCGAGGAAAACAACCGGGTCGGGATCTCGAATAGCCGCTTTGAGTAGTCCACGAGCATCTTCGGAATTGTATGGTGACAGCACTTTCAACCCGGGACAAAAAGCATACCACGCAGCGTAACACTGAAAAGTAACCGAGATATGAAACAGTCGAGCATGCTTCTTACTCGATTGAAACTCGGCTAGATTTCTAAAATATGGAAACAAGTGAACAACAACCATAACACCTAGTACAATGTAACTCGAAATTTCACCTCGGTGGACTCTCGGAGCAAAATAAAGTAGATGAATGCAAATAAACCAGATAATCAGTGCAAGCATCAATATTAAGAAATCAAAACTGAGAGTGCTGGGCACCAACACCGGCTGCGGCACCATTAGGACCCCTAAAAACAATAGGTACCGATATCTGGCCCGCCGACATGTAGTTCGACTTTGCAGCAGAGTTAATAATGTGGTCAATGGCCTGAATTAAAAGACAAACAGATCAAAGAAAACAATTCATCAGATAAAAGATCTCATAACAACACATTTCAGAGAAACCAGACTCGTTCGTGCACCCCCCCAAGCAGCACATACAATGTCGTAACAATCGTAAAATTCTAGAATACATAAATGACATCCGAATCATTAACTCTTTTGAACATCCAAATTCTATTATCATATAATGAAACCACTTATGATTAAAACAAAATATGCATATTCATCCATACAGACTTAGAAGGATATCGATTGTTAACAACGCCATCTTCAACCAAACACGCGATGATGTATATGGTAAACAAAATACTAATATAAGTGTACATAAGCAGAGATTCAAGACAGAACTATCGAACCTGCATTGAGAAGTTAAACGTCATAAACTCCAAAACGGGTTTCAGACCATAGTAAGCCTCCCCAACCGCAATCCCAGTAAAACCAGCCTATGAAACCAGATATAAAAAACTGTAGTGAGAAAAGAAAATTGCAATAAGAAACTAAAAAGCATCAATACATGGAAATACAACAAGGCACAGAACAAAATAACCTCAGTAATCGGAGTGTCTCGAACCCGTTCGGGTCCATACTTGTCCAGAAGCCCCTTGGTTATCTAAAAAAAGAAGGAAACATAAGCCATTCTTCAGAGAGATGTAAAAATACTCCAGTGGTCTCTTTTAAAGATGATGAAATAAGAATTTCATTCTTGCACAATAAATGTCAACCTTGTATGCACCCTGATATTCTCCAAGCTGCATTTTATATTTTAAAAGAACATAAGAATGGGAATAAAAGAAAAAGGAATAGCTGAAAATTAGGCTAAAATAATAAAAAATGATCCTTGTTAATATTTTCTCACCTCTTCACCGATCAAAAAGACTTTCGAATCAGCTGACATCTCCTCATCAAGAGCAGAGTTTAATGCCTCTCTCACAGTCATCTGCACATAATTGTCATTATATGAAAAAACTAGGCCTTGCCTTCAGCAAGACATTAGCAACACAAAATCAGTTTAAAATTAATAGCAGGACCATATATGAATGTGTCACGTACAAGCACGGAAGGACGCAAGATTTTATGTTAAGAGGGGTGAACTTAAAAAATTTTGGTGAGCGAAAACATATTATCAATGGAAAATACAAAGAAAATATTTAAATTGTATGAGGATTTGAAATTTTCAAGGGAGGGCGTGGGCGACCGCCCCACCAGCACCCCTCGCTCTATCCTGCATACAAGCAGCTCCTAAGATCATACACACGTATACTCCGTTTCGAATGGATTAACACTCGAAATACACAATTCGACATCTAACAGAATTAAAATCAAAACATTTAAAGAACTCCAACCAAAAACATATAGTGAAAAAAAAAATTACCTGTTTCGCACCAGATGAGTAAGTTCTCAACACCGACGCCACGGGCTGAATCTTCTTCAATGACTGCTCCAACATCTGAAACAAAGAAAATAAGTCATAAAATTAGAACAAAAAAAAAACCTCTCAAATTCATATATAAGGGAGCAGCTGAGTTTCCAGAAAATAACCTTTTGCCTTACGATTCCCAACATCTTTCCTTCTTCAAATTCACGTTTTCTACGATCACCAAACAGAAACAACATATTTGTTAACGATTTCAGTAATTCGAAAGAAAACCCAGTCTCATATCAAATCATAGAAGCATAGAAAAAACAAATGTTTACGGTGCAATTACAGCAATGATCACTTTTGTCTGTGCTAACAACGTAAATCCGAGACTTAAATCACTACTAAGAAACAATAAATTAAGTATATTTAAATGAAACAACAAAACAAATCGAGAAATCCAATTCAAACGTACGAAAATTACACCCAAACAAAGGTGCTGGAAAGAGAGAAGCTAACGCTAATCGATGGAAGATCAAAGAAGAACGTACCCTTTGTTTTCTCCTTCAATGATTTTGATGAAAATATAGAGTTTGGGGTTTGGATTTCTTTGTTAAAGGGAATTAATCGGCAAGGAGATGGCCAAAAATAGCACTCCAAGGAATAGATACCCGTAAGGGAGCAGCTCAACGAAGATGATCGAGTGACAGTGGGACACCAGTAAAATAAAAAATTTAATGAATACAAAATGGGTTAATTACAAAATACATTCTCAAATTACTATCTATACTTTAAATTAGGTTTTGGAGAGGTTTGTATCACAAATAAGTACCTGAAGTATACTATATTTTTCATTTAAGTACCTAAAGTATTTTTTGGTCAAAATAAATACCTAAACTTATCTTTTTAGTCAAAATAGGTGGCTAAAGTATTTTATGTCAAAATAGGAACCTAAACTATTCAAACTTTTTCATCTAAGTTCCAAAAAAGTTGACATGTTAATTAAAGAATACTTTAGGTACTTAGATGAAAAATTGAATACTTTAGGTACCAATTTTGACCAAAAAAATATTTTAGATACCTATTTTGACAAAAATACTTTAAATATTCCAGTGAAAACTTTGATATATTTTAGGTACTTATTTTTTATATAAGCCTTTTTGAAATTTATAATGTTTAATTGAGTCCTTAAAGTATTTGTGAATATAAATTAGGTCCTTTTAGAGTCCGGACGGTAATTAGCTTAGACGTTAAATGTGGGAACATATCTGACATGAAGTATATTTTTAAAAACTTGACATAACAAATGGCCCCTTAGCTTGGCAATTGTTCTCAAATCAGTACCTAAACTATTTTTTAAACCATTTTGATATCTAAACTTGATAATCCTTCTCGAAGTAGTACACATGACTAAAATTGCAATTGTTCTCAATGCTTTCTTTTAGCCTTCGGATTATCGATCACATATATAGCTGTTCATCTGTCACTTATTTTTTGGGGAAACTACACATTTAGTACATAAACTATCAATTTTAATCTGTTTTAGTATCTAAACTATGTTTTTTTTAATGACAAGTCTTTGTCAGAGAAATTAATGAACAAAATCTTATGAAATCATAAGTGTGACATTAGTCGGATAAAATTAAGTTGGTCGCTCTAATTATGACAGAATAATTTCGAGATGTTACTGAGCAAGACATACTTTTTATTTATAGACGATATTATTCGGTCCGGACAATCGAGTCGCCCAATCATTGTCTGTGCCCCTTCAGAATCCATCAGCTTAGGACACATTTCAATCATAAGCTAACACAGTTAATCTGTTGGCAATGTCTAAAACAAATGTATTTACAGTACTCTTAAAGAACATGAGGGGAAACATCTTTACATGGAAGCTTTACAAGCTAAAATGGCTATGTCTAAACACCAGATTCAACGATCTACACTTTGGAATTTGGCGTAATCCTACCGATTAATCCGAGCCGAATGCATCAGGAACACGACTTTATCAGTCCCAGGTTGTAAAGAAGCTTCTCCGACCGAGATTTGAACAGGGTTCCCAACGAGAATATACTACTCTTGCGGCGGAGAAGATTTGGAGTACGCTTTGTCCTTCACGTGAAGTGTGGTGAGGCCAATCTCTTTCCGAACCGCTTCGATCGTTTCACTTTTCACTGGATTTCCGGATGCATCGGTCACTTAAAATGTGTTTATGGCCTGGGAGCCCCTCGTTGTGACCTCTGCTCGTGTGACAGAAAGGCCGTTTTCTCTAAATATTCGAGTCACGTCCATAGAAGGCCGACCCTGTCGTCGCTACAAAGTTCCAATCTTATGCCCTGCACATCACAAACAACAAAGTGATATCAATACAAGCTAGCAAAATGAATAAAAAAAACTAGGAATGTGATTGAGATTTCCCCGTCGCCATACCTCGGAAGCTCGCCTCTTAATAGCAGCCTCCAAACAATGAATTACCCTCTGTCTCTCGGCTTCGGAACTAATAGGACAACCATCCATGTGCCTGATATAGTATTCCTATCAATGGATGAAATCGATTATAATCTAAAAACATATAAGAATCGCTAAGCTAATGAATTAACATAAAACATAATGAGGGAAAACCTGATAAGCCTCTGGTCCTTCTGCTATGACAGTCGCATGATATACGACAAAATGCATATCTGTTAACGTGCAAACCGTATCAAAGAGTAACTTAGGCCGATCAGGGCACCGCAAGTTCACGACAGTGTAACCTTTAGGCTCACAGTTTTCCACAGTTACTAGCGGTTTACTCCGTTCACCAGTTGATCCGATGTCGTCCATATCATAGTCACGATCAGCATACATCATCTGATGCAGCCTCCCTTCCTTGTGCATCGAGCCCACAGAAACAGCGGTGTTAGCACTCCTCTTATCTCCATCCCCTTTAAGGACATAGAGGAGAAGCTGCTTGATCTTCGTTAGTCTTTCAGGATTGTCGATCGACGATCCATTCATCTCATCGGCAATATATATAACTGATGGCATTCTTGAATTATGGGTCCATACTTCAGCAGCTACAATGTTACATTTAAGGTCAGTCAGAACAGAAAAATCTGCAATAGCAAGCCCGGGAGGTCTCTCCCTATCAATTCAATAACCGTCTGTTTTGAGGCGGCTTGAACACCCACAGATCTTGCCAAGGACCGGAAGCTGTACGCTCTCGGTCCCAGTTGCTGAAAACATGCCGAATTAATCATCGAATTATATGTAACTCACATGGCTCACTCATAACATGTAGCCAAACCATCATAGTACAGACATACGGCAAACATTGTATCTACTTGTTGAAATACAAAGTTCAGGATTATGATTATGGTAAAAGACTCGGCTCGGCTCGGTTTGAACTCGACAGAAGCATGCAACATTCGAATGGAACATAAAAACTCCTCGGCAATATCTATTACTGAAATTAGAGGAGTGGAGCATAAAAGGACTGCAACAAGGCTAATTGAGAATGGTATGTTGTTCGAGCTCTTCATTTTTCTTTAATTATTCGTGTTTGACATGCGAATAAGGCGTCGGATATGGTAACATATCCGACACTCCCATGACTCATCCGAATTCGAGTCCCTCACGTCTCGAATTTGGCCAAATATCCATAATTTGATGAATTTTTACAAGATAAAATTCTGGGTTTTTTTTTTTTTTTGCAGATTTACCTGCTGATTTTTCTCTGCAACATCAACTTCAGATAGCTTATTGCCATGTTGATCGGTGACATGAAACACTGCAAGCAAACAAACAAACCATTTTAAGGAGGGGAAAAACCCAAATCAGAACAAGAAAATCATGGAATTAACAACAAATTTCCACCAAAAAGAGTCCAAAAATTCAAGAGGAAGATACCATCCATGAACCACTCTCCATCTGAAGAAATGTAAGCTCGTCGAATCATAAGATCCAAATCGGTTAACACTTGAACCACCTCCAAAAGACTCCCTCTCTTATTAGCACTATCAACCTGCAAAAAGAACTCTGAAAATCCTCAACAAAATAGCCCCAGAAGAAAACAAACAAACAATCTCAATAAACTCCAACCGTTCTTCAACCTTTATCAAAGTTGCTTTCCTGCTCGCTGCATTATCAACCGTAACCCTGCAAAAAAAAAAAACAAACAACAACATATAAAATTCTCGAAATTTTCACCATTTTCAGGCCAATTAAACACAAAAAAAACACCCCAAGACCCCAAAAAACATATACCTCGGGGGGTTCATACGAATGACGAGCTTCTCGTACTCCTCATCCACAGTTAAAGGAGGAGACCAACAGTCCATTGACGATGATGATGGGATTATACGTATGAAAAGACGTATAGAAACAAACAGAGAAAAAGGTGGAGTACTGAGTTTGTTATATAATAAGGCTTTGGGATTTCTGAGTTTTGGTTTGTGAGGGGATCTGTGTGTATTTTGTAGGGTGGTGGCGGCTGGCTCTTGAATTGGACGAAGAGTTTGGAGCCACATAACAACTAATTTTATTTATTATTTATTTATCTTTTTTTTTTGTCTCCAAGTGACCTATTCGGAATGGATCGAGAGGATGTTTGAGTATACTTAAAAAATTTAAATTTTTATATAATTTATTTATCTTTTATTTTTTATCAATGATTTAATTTCGTATTCCTAGAATTTATTAAGTGATCTCAGTAGTAAAGGGGAACGTTGTCCTCTTCAAAGATCCCAAATTTGAGTAGTTACGTATGTATACAGAGACGGAGTCAGGATTAAAAATTAGGAGGGATAAAGTACTTAATTTCAAAATAATAAAGACTTATTATGTATTTAATCTAAAATTTTGAGGGGGCAAAAGTCTAATTTTACTTAAATTTAAACTGATAAGGACCTAAAATATTATTAAATCAAACTATATAGCTTCGTCCCTGTAAGTGCACGTTGTTAAGGCTATAAAAGATTATGAACATATATTACTTTGTAATCACTCTAAATTATTAAAAAATCGTACTCCTATACTCATAAGTATCTAATATAACTTCTTAAGTTCGTAACTTAGTATAAAAAGCCTCAACTCATCGGTTATCCCTACGACTATCATTATAATTGAAATCAAAATTAAATTATACACTTTTGATGGGGTCAAAATTAAAAAGGTTATTCGAAAATGGTATAGTAGGAGGGACCAAAAGTACAAATTTCCCATTTAGATAAAGAGTTAAGAGTTTTAAATAAAATGTTTAATATTAGAAAAGGTAAAAAAAAATTACAATTGTCCATTGATAAATGGAGTATCCCTCGACCTAACCATAAATTTATTAGACAAATTCAACGAGATAATGCTCTCAAAATCTTTATTTCACGAAATAAGGCAGTCCACAGATTAATTGCTCAAATGGGGTGATTTTCACAGTGTTGGCATAGGTCGCCATGCACGCCAGGCGACATGGCGACCTACGGCCAACTGTACAATTCACCATACTTCATCAATTAATCTTGAGAGAACGTTATTTCGTGAATTATTTATTTCCAAAGCATTATATCGTGAGTTTAGCCATTTATTAGACATACTAAGTTTGTGAGTGAAAAATTGAAAATAATTATATATTTTATTTAAAGAAATCAAATATATACATATATATATATATTCTTTTATAATGGGTTAATTACAACGTATGTCCTCAAATTATGGTTCTGTTTTGGTTCTCAAACTTAGAAATGTGTTATAGATTCTTAAACATAGCAGTATCGTATCGATTAGATCTTTTTATCATGTACATGATAACTTAGGTTTAATAGAAAATATATTTAAAATACTCAAGTTAAATTATAAATGTACATTAATGGAATGATACACTACAAATAATTGAGGACTCGATTAAAATATTTTAAAATTTTAAGCTTAATTTTATACCTAAACAATAGATTAAAACATTTTGTGAAATTAACTTTTCCTATTTTAATTTTGTATGGATATATATTTTGATTTTTAAACAAAGTAAGCCAACTATTTTATATTTTTACAATATATACAATAATTACTATTTCACCCATTCTTTATCCTTTGAAATTATCGTATATTTTTTATTTTTTAATATATTTTTATTGAAAATATGTTTTTGTTCTCTTAAAATTTTATAAGTTTAAGTTATGTAGACACTCATTTTTGTCCGGGGCTTATTTAGTATATATAATAATATAGTATAATTTTTGAAAATATTTTTGAAAAACATATAATATATAATTTTTAGAAAATGGTTTTTGAAAGCAATATAATATATATATTTTTAAAAAACGGTTTTGAAAAAAAAACTAAATATTAGGTATGATTTTGAAACAATTGAAAGTTTCGATACTAAAAAAGACCGAAACTAGTTTAGGTACTGAATACGTAGTTTATCCTAATTTTTATTATAATAATTTTGTGTGTGATTTTTTTTTCTTCTAAAATTTTTCACTTAAAATCTATACAATTTTATTTTAGAATTTTCATCGTTATTTTATTCAATAACGGGAATTAATAATATGCCAAAAGCCCCAAAAATATTTACCTGCTTAAGAGGCGAAAGCCGAGTGAGAGGCTCACCCAATTCTGACTCACTTCGGTCCATTAAAGCAAACATAATAGCTAAAGTTATATCTTTTAAGAAATAAATCGAGTTTGGCTCGGATTGAGTCAAGTTTTGTGAAGCAGAGATTTGAATTTAGGATAAAGAATTTTTAAAGTATTTTCGAGGAGTAGACTAGTAGGACATAGGCTCCGATGCTAGGTGATCCCTGAGACGTCTTAGGTACCAGACACTTAGGGCCTTTCTAGATGAAGATTATGATGCTAAGTGACTCGGGTTTTATCTAAGGTACCTTGAGTAGGTTGAGGGATGTGTCTCTCGAGATGCTAAATTTAGTGATCATTTTGTAATCATTTAAAAAGTTTAATAACCATTTTGTAATATTCAAAATTTACTGACTAAAAAATCATTGACCCATAATGTAGTTTACCCTTTAAAATATTATAGTAACTAAAATTTTCAACCAGCATCCCTACAAAAGTTATGAATGCAAAATCACATTTTAAATGAAGAAAGAAGGGGCAAAGGCAAATCCATCTCTTCGTTCATTATAATTGTTTTTACACAAACTTGCATGCAAAGCTTCTCTGTTCCGGTAAATCTAGGTTGACGGCGACGTCGGAATGCAGTCTTAGGCTGCTGACTGTTCTACGCCGAGATCGCCCCACCGAACATTGTATCTGGCTGCAAGATAATGAGCCCCTACAGGGCCACGGCTTCCGTATGGGTAGTATTCCGGTATAATCTTTTTCTCTTCGAGCTCCGCCAAAACGGGAGTGAAGAGTGACCAGGCTGCATCGAGCTCATCGCTTCGGATAAATAGCCTCCTCTCACCTTCGATCGCATCCAGCAGAAGCCTCTCGTACGCATCCGGGATCTCTTTCGAGTATCTACACGCAACAAGCCAATAAGCTCAGAACAGGCGGGAACTTCTATTGACGTCTTTCGACAGTAAAAGGGAAGCTACGTACGGCACTTTGTCCGTATAACTAACGTAAATATAACCGAAGAAACAGATAAATGGCTTGTTTACCTGTCAGCATAGTGAAGGTTTAGGTTACTGCGGTCCAATCTCATCCCAAGTCCAGGGACCTTGTTGTTGATCTTCAAATAAATAGCTTCATCTGGTTGCACTCGAATGACAAGCTCATTTGTAGCTTGATCGAGATCGGTTCCGAATTTCCGGTTATATAAATTGCCAGGCACATGCCTGAACTGTACCCTTATCTCTGCCCTGAAGGTGAAAGAAATATCAGCAACAAGCAACAATATTCAATAATCCGATGCTAGATGCTAGTTAGAACCTATTCGAATCGAGATTTTCTCTACCGATTCCGTTTACCTCTTATTGTGTAAAGCTTTTCCGGCTTTCATAAGAAAAGGCACCCCATCCCATCTCGCATTGTCTATGAACAAGGCAGCTGCCGCGAATGTAGGGGTCAAGCTATCTTTCGGCACGGTATTGTCGTCCGTGTACGCGGGGTAAGTAACTCCTCCTTTAGTATGGCTCTTGTACTGGCCTATAACTACATCTTCGAGTCGCAACGGTCTCATTGACCGCAACACCTTCACCTGGAACCCGGTAAGCGATTCAGTCAATACATTAAGACCTCCAAGATCATACAATTACCTCTGTAGATAGTTCGCATAAGTTTACCTTTTCGTTTCTTATATCCTCCGCATCCAAACTTACGGGAGTTTCCATAGCAAAGAGAGCGAGTATTTGAAGAAGATGATTCTGCATTATGTCTCTAATTATTCCATAATGGTCAAAATACCTGGAAAAATGACAACGGAAGCAAAAAAAAGTCTCGTGTTTCGTCGTTTTAGCTAAATAGTAAAAACCGTAAAAAGATGGAAGTTTACCCTCCACGTCCTTCGGTTCCGAAATCTTCAGAAAATATCAATTGTACACTTCTAATAAACTGCCTCGACCACAATGGTTCGAAAATAAGATTGGAGAACCGAAGAACCGATAGATTTTCCACAAGTTCCTTTCCTAGATAGTGATCTATCCTGTAGAAAGAGTATCGATCGGATCAGATTGCGGTTCAAATTCTCTGCACATCAAGCCCGAATGAAGGCAGGAAAATTGTACCTGAATATCTGGTCCTCATTTAGGTACTGTTTTAGCGCTTTTGTTAGTGCGGCAGAAGATTCTGAATCTCGACCGAAAGGTTTCTCAACAATGACCCTGGTCCAACCAATACCAGATGAAGCTGCCGTGCTTGCACATTTTACGGCATCGATAAAAATGTTTGGAGGGATAGAGAGATAAAAGAGGCGATTAGAAACCCTCCCGCCCTGCACGAGCAGTTTATCGTCACCAAAAAGAACTGAATTTTCACATTATGAGAAGAACGGCTAAAATAATTCATTTCACCAAAACGAAAACGAATAATAAGGTGCGTGCTGAATCCCCTATGGTACTAGATTTTGAAGAACACTTGCACGTAAAATACCATTGCATGGCCCATAACTAAAAAACGGTCGAAACTCGAAAAACCTCAATATCCACAAATACATTCAATTGTAAAGAGATTATAAACAGCAAGTCGGCATTAGCTCACTATTCCCGTTAACCGGATCAAAAATTCATTACCTCATGCTCCTTGAGCTTCTTGTCCAACTGTGCAAAATTTTCCCCGGAATCATACTGACCAGAGTGGTAGAAACATCTTTTAAGAAATTCGTCCATCTTTTCACCGCAGTTCTCCCTGGATTTACATATCACACCCATTAATAAGTTCAATAACCAATTAAAAGAAACAAACAATGAAATCTGCAATCGGATGCCTATGAACTTGAAGTTGCAAACAAAAGATAGGAAAACAGTTCACCTTTTATCGATCCTACAAGTAAGGGTCTTGCTCACCATATTCCTTAGTTCTGCATCAGTCATCTTACTCCTCGCATATCCATAGATGGTAAAGTGCTGCAACAAAATTAACCCCACAATTTTTCGAGCACAAATTAAGTTACATCAATCTCCGGCTCAAAGTTTCAAGTAGTTTAGAAGACGATACTAATAAGACACAGACCTCAGGAAGACAGCCTTCATAATAAAGTGCAAAAAGTGCAGGGAATATCTTCTTTTTCGCAAGATCCCCGGAAGCTCCGACCACCGTGATACTGACAGTCGACTCATTTTCATTGATATCAAAACCTGCTTTTTCATCCCATTCCTTTGAAGATGTAACTGACAACAAGTCGCCTTTTGATTTCTCCATAGGGGTTTCTTTTGCCACGGGTGACACTTTCGTTGCCACTGCACCTAAGCATGTAAACAATATCATATACATACATACATACATACATACATACATACATACATATATATTATGGTTAAGCATGTAACATCTAGCATTAAATCTAAACTAGCAAATTGAAAATCAACAATACATGGAAGTTCATAACTATGCTAGTGTAAGAAAAACGACAAAATAAGTTGGATTCAAGCTAAATGATAGTCAAGTTAAGACTTTTCCTCAATCCCAAACAGAAAATTGCAGATTCCCCAGAATTTTGCATGCATCCAAAAGAAGAAAACAACAAACAAATTGAAAATCAGAAACACACACAAGCATGGGACTAAAACTTATAAGCTAATAACTTTGCTCATGTAAAAGAAAACAACACAACTAAATCAGCAAAATATTGTGGTTCAAGAAAATTGATAGTCAAGTTAAGACTTTCCCTCAAACAAACAAAAAATGCAGATTCCCCAGAATTTTGCATGCATTCAAAAAGAAGAAAACAACCAACAAATTGAAAACCAACAACACACACAAGCATGGGACTTAAACTTATAAATCAATAACTTTCCTCGTGCAACAGAAAACAACACAACTAAATCAGCAACATATTGTGATTCAAGCTAATTGATATTCAAGTTAAAACTTTTCCTCAATCCCAAACAGAAAAATGCAGATTTCCCAGATTTTTTTTGTGCATTCAAAAGAAGAAAACAACTAACCAATTGAAAGTGCATCAAAACTAAAATAACCCAGATTTTAGAATCTAACCATCTTGCATGAGGACAACATTTTGATGGGAATTTCCGGTTGATTGAACAAAGACCTTAGCTTTAGCTGGAACAGAAACTCTGGGAGAAGCAGAGAAAATAAAGCTTTGGTTCCGGCCTCCATTTATTGATGAAGAATATGAAGGAGGGCAATGCATTGAAGAAAAAGCTGCCATCTCTCTCTCTCTCTCTCTCTCTCTCTCTCTCTCTCTCTCGGGTATAGCCTCTGAATTTGTTCTAATTTTGTTTTTGAGTAAAGAAAAACTAGAATTAAAGTGGAAAATAACGAGAATTTATGTTAAGAGCTTAGGCGGCTTCGGAAACACCGAGGGGTAATAAAACACTTTGAGATCTCCGAAAGGGTACTTTGTGCTTTCCCTACGGATTCTCAGTTGTGTGAAGAGAGAGGACACGTATGTATTTGTCTTCTCTTTTAATTTTGGTGGTTGTTGGGTTAATTACAATTTGTTTATTCCATAATAAAATTAAGGTTTTAACTACATCATTAGTCACTAAACTTTAGTCATGTTTTCACTTTAGCCACTTTAATGTAGAAAGTTGTAAGGTACTAATATATATATGAATTAATTTTTTTGTCACTGAATCGATAAATCATTAACGAATCCTCTAATTTTTGTGTGTATAAAACCTTAGTCTTTAATCATCGTCGTTGTTTGATCACCGCTCGTTATTGTTTGTTTGTAACATAACAAGTACCAAAATATTTCTTTTTTTATTTTGAGTTTATTTTTCTCGAAATCAATTTGAAATAGATAAAAATCTAGTTTCGACATTCTATTATCTCGATCTCTATCATTGATTGTTTGATAAGATTTATTTTGAGATATAATTTTCTTCGCAAATAAATACTTCTCATCGTTAAGATTTTAAGATGAATATCCCTAACCTCGAAAATCGTTTATTTTGTGTCGAATTTTTATGAGTTTTAAAAAATATTATAGGAAAAATCTAAATCTCTATAATAAAAAACTAATCTCATATTGTTTGCGTTATATATTTTTTAGATTGAGTCTCTGTTAACATTATTTATTAAACCAGTGTTTGAAAGCAACGACGACGTTGATAGACATTATTAAAAAATAATTTTATTATATCACAGTTAATATGTTAACGTCAAGCTCGGGCAATCATCAATTTTTCAATAAAAAAAATATAAATTTATAACTTTTAATAATCGAATTATTTAACAAAATAATAGCCTATAATTACGGGTGTACTTTACCCTTGTTTTATCTTGTTAATATTACTTAATTGGTCAAGTCCAAGTATTATTTCTTTTGGGCTGCAAATACTCTAGCTACCAAATGGGCCTTTACCACTTTGTAATATTAAACTAACATTTTTTAAAGAGAAAAATAAAGAATTTATAGCTAATTTAAAGGATAGATTTTGAGTTTAAATATTTTTTAAATTCTTGTGTTTTCTTATGTTCAATCATTTTATATTCCTGATCGATGGCATAATTTGGTGATAGAGTTTGGGGTCAACTTAAAACTTTAAAAATCTAGAGGTTTAAATTAAAAATTTTGAAGGGTTCAATTTATATTTTTTTCAAAAACATATTGGGGTTTAATGAGAGGTTTAATGAGAATTTTTAAAAGTTACGAGGGGTTTAACTAAAAACATTCAAAAAATTTAAAGCTTAATCTAAATTCTTAAAAATTTTATAGGGTCAAATTATTTTTTTTAAATTTAAGAGATAAAATTATAATCTATCAATTTTTTTGGGGGAGGCCGTGACCCCCACATGTCCCCCCCGTTTAGTTCCACCTATGTTCCTGATGTTTGATCTTAACTCCGTTCTTACATATTAGACTCTAATAATTTCAAAATCTAAGTCAAGTTGGATCCTAAATAGTGAAAACACTCTCACATTGTATATATTCTTATTTCACAAAGACTTAAAACTAATACCAACCGGAAATTATCGATTTATATATCGAAAGAATGTCTTAAGTCTCGATCCAGATTAATCAACCAACAGATCGAGTATTACACGAATACCCACTAAAATGGTGGTCCATTCGAAGAGCTCAAACATTTGGTACCAAAAGGAGACGCCATGGGAATCTATCTTTTTCAGGCCATATGGATTGTCTTAGTTGCTAAGGAAGGAATTTCAACCATCCAATAGTCAAGAGGGAAACACAAAAACAAGTGGAAACTCTCAGATTGTAAAGCCAATGCATGCAGTATATGCTGAGCCAATACCGCCTTCCATAAAGCTATCTTATTCCATCTTCCATTTATATTATTCCGGGACGGAGTCAGAATTTTATTTTGACAGAGATAAAATATATATTTTTTAAATTAACGGAACGATTTTATAATTATCTCATAAATATTTAAATTTTATATAAAAAAATCAAAACTCCTCCCGCTCCCTTAATAGTTCCGTCCTTGATTATTCTTCTTAATTTAATCGATTAATCCAATTTAATTATGATAATTTTGTATTCTCTTAGCTTTACATACCACCCGCAAAAGCATACTTTGAAGCTTCCTTGATGACCTCCTAAAAGGCATGCAAATGTTAACATAGTGTACTTAAATTATTAAATATAGACAAAAGAGTTACATTTGCTCGTGTAGTAGACTCAATTTATCATTTTCGTCCTTATCGTATTTTCGTATTAATTTAGCCCTCCAAGTTACTCAATTGCATCATTCTATACCCTACCCCTAATTTAAAATCCTGAATTATAAAGTATAGACCCTAAACCATATCCCCTAAACCTTTAAGCCCTAAATAATTTATAATTTAGGATTTTATGTTAGAGGTGGGGTATAGAATGATGCAATTGAACAATTTGAATGATTAAATTGATGTGAAAATACATGTTGACAAAAATAATAAATTAAGATTATTACAAGGATAAAAGTAACCCTCGAGCCTTAAATATATAATATCAATTGATATTAATCGCTATATTTAATAATTTTTTAATCAATTGATATTACATATTATATCACTAATTCATTGAACCTGCTTTATACAACAAAATGTGTATTGAAATAATTAAGAAATCAAAGCAAGCTGCAAAGGGATGAGGTCTAGTATTGCCAAGTGAGATATTTGTGTATATATGATATATTATTTAAAAGTAGGCGACGCCCACCGAACCATAAAATCCAGCAGCTTCACTCGGAGAAAATTAAAATAATGAATCACCTTCTTAAACATTTTAATTTTTTTAATATTTTTTTTATTAAAAATTAATTTTCCGTCTTCCTTAAAAATTTATGAAGGGCAAGACAGCGCGGATTCTCGTTCTTCCATCCCCATACCTATATAATATTTTTATATTCATCACCTACTCACCATTCATGACGGGTAAAATATTTAAATTCATATACGTCCACGCAAATACATTCTCAAATTCATTCACACACCCACTGTCCAATTGGATACCCATCACTCATCTTGTACCCACCCATACCCACCCGACAGCAACCTCACAAATTATATAAACGACGATCTTCAATTTTAAAAATATTTATACCTTAACATTTGGTTAAATTACAAGTTATGTCTTATAAAATCTTAAGATTTATACAATAATCTCTGAAATTATATATAAAATCATAATGGTAAAAAATGTATATGGTGAATAGTTAGTGGGCGGGTGGATGTGGGGCGGATAATGTCTCAAACCCATCACCTACCTACTACCCACAATGGGTATGACTTTTTATATCCACACCCGCCCACTACCCCATTAAATTTATACTGCAATTATGCAATTGCAAGAGTTGATTAATTAACCTAAAATGCATTTTATTGTATTTCATGTTTTTATGCTAGATAAAATTATTCATAGATTTTACGTGAAAAATTTAAAAAATTTCAAGAAAAAGAGATAAAATTAACTATGATAATCGTAAAATATAAGAAAGATCACAAATCAACCCTAAATATGTCACAATACGTACAAAATCCTTACTAGTGAGCATGAACATAGGACTCTAAACAAACCAAACGTTTAACGAATCATTCTCAAATCGTTCGGCGAAAAATTTGTTTATGTTCGTTTATTTATTAAACGAACAAACATGAATAATATTTTATATATGTTTAATAAAATAAACGAACATGAACAAAGAGCTCGTTCGTTCAATTACGTTCGTGAATGTTTGGTAATCCGTTCGTTTATGTTCGTCTATATCTAACTCAATCCCCAAACTTTTTTGAAATATTAAGACATAATAAATTTTAACTTTAACCCATTAATATTTTGAAACTCAATTAATTTTAAACTCAAATAAAAAAAATACTCAAATCAATTAAAGAAAATATAAATTCAAAAGTTATTTGGAAAGAAAAAAACTCGTGTCGAATATAAACCTAGTTAATTGTATGTTCGTTCGTTTGTGTTCGTTTATCATTTTAACGAACGAACATGAACGAGCACGAACAAACTAAATTTTTAATGAATGAACACGAAAAAAAAATTCCATTCGTTTATTCGATTAAAGTTAAATAAAAGAACATGACCACCATCCGTGTTCGTTTACGAGGCTATATATGAACTCTTTACCGACCTTGGCCTACCATTTTCATAAAGTAACCTTCTCATGAAAAAAAAAAAGCAATTTAAAAAGGAAGTGTAGAATCTCATGAATGTCACAAAATTATTCTTCTCCCTTTATTCCTCCCCCACTATATATCAACTTAATGTTGTCACCTTGTTGAATGTTGAGTTCTCTTATGCAAACCCTACAATATTCTCTGCAGAATCTTTAGATACAAGAAACTGCAATGAAGAAGACGAAGAAAACCCAGATTTCCATTCACAACAGTACCCTTCATCTGCTCGCCGGAATTTTATTCACTTGCAGTTTATTCTTCTTCTCCGATATCCCTTCTCCATGTTCATCTATGAAGCAGTTTCTTTCAATCTACCTCCCTTGCATCTGGTCTTCATTTTCCAACCCTAAGTGCTTGTTTATAGTGGTTAATGTCATCGTCATCTTCCTCGTCGGTGAATCCGGGGTCGTCGGTTCGAACAAATCTCCTGCGGACGGCGACGTTTACGACGAATACGTCGAACGGAGTCGATTTCGGGTCCGGGGAACCGAAGCCGGCTCGAACGAAGATAAGAAGATGGATTGTGAAGAGGAAGTGATTAGATGCGAGTTCGAGTCGGCGGAGGAAGGGACGAGTGAAAATATTGCAGAAGAGGAAGATGAACAAGTGGTTGAATTGCCTGCTGAGGAGCTTAATAAAAGAGTTGAAGAGTTCATTGCTAGGGTTAATAAAACAAAGGTTGATGGAAGCTCAGTTATTGGTGTGTTGTAAGGCATAATTATTGTTAAAAATTTAAATCTATTTATTAAAATAACCTAAATTATATATTAA